ATGTTAATGGCAAATAAATAAGTAACGTTTCCTTTTGAATATTCCAGATGATCGATTTCGTATGAATATGGATATGGTGCAAATGAAGGTCGACTAAATTTTTCCTTTAATGGTTGAATTTTCGGGTCAATTGGTTTATTTAATATCTTGAAATCCATTTTAAAATCTTTTTGCTTCTTTAATGTTTGAAATGGATATAATAAAGTGAATGATGAAGGATTAACTGAAGGAGGAGGCGGTACTGTCGTTGGAGGTTTTGGTGTTGCAAGTGGTTTAATTTTATCTGCTTTGATTTTGGAATTCAATCCTCCCTTCATTAATTCTGGATGTATTCTATTCATTTGTTTTAAATATGCTGTATATAAAGGTTTGATATACTTTCCCGCTTCAAGTTTATGTTGAAGGATGAATTCCAAAAGTTGATCTTCATTTAAAAGTCGGGCTGAATATGGTTTAACTAATGAATCATAAATTAAAGCTTGTGCATCATTTATGGTCTGAAGGACATGGGTGTTTTGTGGCTCAGGATTATATAATTTATATAATTCATCAATATCTTCTTCTGTTAATACTTTATTTTTGAAATCTTTCAACTGTTTAAGTTGTGATTTAGTTTTTCCCTTTGAATATTCATTATTTTTAATTTGTCTTTAATTTCAGAAATTATTTTATTATGATATTTCAAAATTTCATTTTTATAATATGGATAATAATATTCCATATCATCACCCGTTATATTGTTATCATATTTTTGGAGATATGCTTTTAAATCATAATAATTAAGAAAATTTTGATTAAGTACTAAATCAGCAATTAAAATTTTTAAATCTGTGTTATTCATTTATATAAAAATAAAATCAATGTTTTAAGGGTACCCGCCTCTTTGAATCATAGTATCAAAGCCATCATTCAACGGTTCCTTTTGTCTCTTCTGTGGTATTTTATTAAATAAATGGCATACAACATCCATTTTCACAACATACAGCCTTAGTGTGTGCTCCTGTTAATGCAGTCTTACCAATTGTTAAGCGAGTCATTGACCCATTTTTAAGTTGTAAATTAATATTCTGACCATCAAATATCAATTTATCATTTATTATATCCAAATAATTTTTAGGTGTTAATTGCTTATTTTGTCTTAAACTAACACCTTTCATTTTTTGTGCAATCTTTTTAAAATCACTTCCATCAATTGAACCGTTGAATGATGTATAACACTTAGGACATAAAGCAACCATGTTATCACCTTGTTTCTCAATTGCTAAACCCAATAATTTTTTCTCATGTGCTTTTTCTTCAGCTTTATTCTTTAATTTAGGTTTAAATTTCTCATCAAAACAGAAGAAATCAAAAGGTGCGAATTTGAAAATGTTTTTATCATAAAATTGTTTATCGGTAACAATTGCTTGAAATGCTTGAGTGTTAGGAAGATTTGGATCGCCAGCGATTGCCCAATAAGATGAATCAGTATCACCTTCAATGAAATGAAAACGATTAACATCCATGCATTTATACATAAAATCATAAATGAAAACCAAATACCAGTATTTGCGTTATCTAAAGTGAAGAATGCCTCTTGTAAACATGTATCACATCTATAAAATCTATCTTTAAGCATCACTTGATATGTATCTTCACCTATTTCTCTTATGTTTTTAAACTTATTTGACATACATGCAACGCGTGACTTCTGTGCATTCATTATTTTAGTCTTTGCGTAATTTTGTGTATTCATTGCATCGTAACCATATGATCCATTAAGTGAAATCTTGCAAAATAAACTTTTTCCTTTATTTCCTTCTAATTCAGCCTTTTGTCTTTCGTTCATAAATTTGTTCGCAAATTCATTAAAGCAAGTGTTTTTAGTAAATGTTAAAATTGATTGAATGTCATCAATGATAAAATGAAATCTGTCTATTAGATACCAAAGATAATAAGAAGAAAATGGTTGATATTGGTTGTGTGTTGATGCTAATTGAGTTAATTTCTCTGTTTCTGGTCAACTGGTAATTGTTTGATTTCATGTAATTATACATAAAACTGCCAATTGTTTTTTCATCTGTGATAATATCTAAGTTTCTTATTATCGGTAAAAAGTTTATGTAATCATTAATGTATTTTTCATCAATATGACCCTTTACTTCAGCCACGAATAAAGTATTTTTCTTCTTAATTATTCCCAGTGCTTTTGCTTTCTTTGTTGCTGTATCACAAATGATAACTCCGTTCAATCTTCCCGGCATATACATTTTATGGTCAGTATATTGAATGAAATCATGAGGATTAGATGAAAATGATGAAGGATATAATGAATTAAAATCAACACCAACGAAATGAGTCATAATGTTGGTGGTGTCCTCATTTGATACAGTTTTAGTTTCTGGACTATATGAAAGTTTATTAATGTGCGTGATTCCTTTAAGATTAACACGATGTTGAACATTTGATAACCACCAGTAATTCCATTACGGAGAATGTGATAAGCTTCAACTGAATCTAAAGTCATTGGTAAATTATTTTTTAATGCATAATTTCTTAAATTGATTCTTAAACGTTGAACATCTTCATCTTTATTTGATTTTACGACATTGCAATAACAACACATTAACTGACAATTTTCTTTGGTATGTGGTTTTTCATTATGATTCTATCCAATGTTGGTTTATTTGCATATGTAAACGCTTTACCACACATTTTGCATTTAGATGAAAGGATTAAATTGTGATAGTATTGAAAATCATCCATTGAAACATTATTTTTAGTATCTCTTTCTGCTTTTTCATCTTGTTTCTTATATGAATCAATTTTATATTTCCAATACTTTTTCGTTAATTCAAAACTTGATTCCACATTTTCTTCTTCTGGATATGTTTCGTTAGGATTGAAGTTCTTATATGCTAACGCGTAACGAATCATTGATGCATTCGATGATAAAGAAAGATTATGAAGCATGTCAATTTTATAAACAAATGTTTCTTCAATAATTTTATCAATTGGGTCAATCATAATTTCAACATCTTTATTGCAATAATGAATAAAATATTCTAATCTATTCTTAAATTTTTAGCATCATTGAGATATATTTGATAATCTGAATCGATATTGTTTCTTGTGTTAATGCTGAATAAAATGAATCTTGAGTGAATGGTTCCTTTTATATAATTCTTCTTCGTAATTCTCCCATGTGATGAATTGATAAGGGAAAAAGGATTTAACACGTGATTTATTGTTTCCGAAATCTTGAGTGAATTGGTCTAATGTCCCACCCGCTATATAATTTCTGATGTCAATAAATCTCAATTCATATGGAACGTTTGTTTTCTTTACAATGATTTGCTTAAATTGTGAAGATGAACCCAGCATTGATTTTATTTTCCATTTTGCAGTGTTTAAATCACGAAGAATTAAATTTAAATCAAACTTTCCCGAATTAAAACCTATGATATTCACTTTATTGAATTCCTCATCTAGAAGTTCTTTAAATGCTTCCTTCTGTTTTTCATTTAATGTATGAGACAAAGTCCCGCCGTTTGCGGCTTCATTAATTCTTCATATTGTTCAATATTTGATTTAGCAACTAATGAACAGGTTGAAAATAAAAACTCAATCCAATCAGAAATAAAAGAATCACTCGAAGTTAAGCAAAAATTCCTCGTATATGTTTTATCGTTTAATTTAACCGTTGATGATACCATGAATGGTTTTAAGTAAGCGTTCAAAGTTGCACACTCAGAAAGTTGTAATTCTTCTTTAGTCTCTAATGTTTCGAAGTCAAAAGTAATATAATATCTTGTCGGTTTATAATATTCCTGCAAATTATGTGCTAATAACCACTGATATATCTTCTGTTTCGTAATATGTGGTGCATATGGTTGTTGTGTGTTTTGCAATTGAACGTCTTGAATTAATCTTCCATTATTTTCTTTACATTTCTCACAATGCTTTTAAAAATCTTCTTTGGTTTTTCCTTTCTGGATCATCACGGATAGAATAAACTTCTTCTTTACAAATGGACAAACTTTATAGCCGTGAGTGCTTCAACGTCTGTTATTCTGTCAGCGTGAAGTTTTCCACATGGACTCTGTGTTAATAAAATATTTACTGTTTCAAATTCTGGATCTATCATTATTGATTCCACTAATGGAAAGTCTACCTTATTTATGTCCACGTCTTCTGGTTGAGGATCACAATAATAGAAATCAATATTAACATTTAACATTCTCGCTAATCTCTCACTTTCTGATGAAATGTCAAACCTTCATATGCATCTATTGCTTCATTTAAATAACTTCTACGAGTTTTAGGATTAACACCATCAGGAATGTTATAGAAGCGTTTAAATAACCTTCTACCTTCGCTCTTATTTGATTATCATTCATTTTAGCTGTTCCATTTTTGTTCATTTATGTAAGAATAAAAATTAAAATAAATAAAAATAAAGTTTATTTTTTTAAAGCCCATAAAATGAATTAAGAACACATAAATTTTTATCATCTGCGACGTGACGAATACATTTTAATTTACTCAAGAATGCGTACCCTGATACATTAAATCTAATTCCTGTCTTATTTAATTTCACAACTTTGAAAAGGAATGTATGAATAGCTATAAAATGATGAGAAGATGTTTTATGGGTTGCTTCCATTTTTTCTGAAATAAATGAATAAATATAATGTTTATAAGTTTTCATATCTTTTATATTCTTAATAACGAATGGTATAGACCTTTCACTTCGTCTTCCTTCGGTGCTGTTCTTTCATATGAAACATTATTGGTATCTTCAATAATGAAACCACAATCACATAAAATTTTATAGGTTCCAATGGTTTCTTTTGATATTTTATCTAATAAATCAAAAACTTTATCAACACCTGTACATTTATTTAAATAATAATTTGTGTAAATATCATGGTCTTCTTTCTTAATCGTATTTGTTGCATATGTCACGTTTTTAGTGCTTTTTTGAATTTTCAGAATCAGAGGAGGTGAAAGTAATATACATGGATAATCTCCATCGTCAATAAATTGTAACTTATGTTTATGAATAAATTTTGTGCCTTCTTCTGAAAGTGTTTCGTCAATATCACCATCTAATAAATTTTTAGTAGATTCCAAAAAGTAATTTTTATATCTTTCCTCATGTGATTTTTGAACTTCTGATTCTGAAGCTGGGATATTCATTAAACCCTCTACTTCATTCTCAGCATTTCTCAATTCCTTAATTTTTTCATCTATTTCATTTCTTAATTGTTCCAATTTCTCAATCTCATCGTTATAATATTCATCTTGTTTAATTTTTTCTTCAAAATATTCAGGAGGTGTTTCAAGGCTCTCTGAGCCCAGGTCCTCTGGACCATAAAGAGGAATATTCTCCTGTTTTTCAACTTTTTTGGGATATAAATATCTCATTATAGCCTTTTTAGTAATTGGTCCGTTATATTTAAATTCATTCAACAATCTGGAAAACTCTTTCACATTCTGCATATATGTTGGATAAGAACCGTCTCCAAAATTTTCTAAAATATTTTCTAATTCTGAATTAGTGAACTTTAAAGATTTCAATGAATTAGTTGTTATACTCATTTATCATTAAATAAAAATTAGAATATAAGTGATGAAATCTATTCCTCAATCAAGAATCACCTCATTAATGAAAATAGATGATTTAACAAAAAGAATAGAAGAGATTGAAGAAAGAATGAATCAAATAATTGATTTCATAAATTCAAATAATCATTAGCTTCTTAAAGTTTATTTTTCATTCATGACTCCATTGATTCCAATCAGGATTTAAACAATGTTTAATTATTGAATAACCTGACATCATCTATATATAGCTTCTTTTATTTCGTTATGTATGGGCTGAGTGTAAATGTCTTACAATTTTGAAAATTTTTAAATCTTGATTTATTCAAAAACGTAAGAATCAAAACTGTAAGAATCTTACATTTTTTACTTCATATGTTAAAAATAATGATACAAAATCGTTCAATATTGTATGAATTCTTACGTTTACAAAAAAAGTCACACAACCCGTCCACATATACTACTGAAATTATTTAGAAGTTTAGAAGTTGTTAGAATGCTATTTTTGTCATGCGGAAACACTATTTTTGATTTTAATGTTCAGTTGCTTTTGGTTAACACTGGGTGTGAAAAATTATTTCTCATATCTTCATTTGTATGCAAAATCATCAAATGAAGAGGAGTTCTACCAAGTAAATCTTATGCATTAATATATGTACCATTTGAAATAAGTAATTCTGAAATTTCTGGATAGTTATTGAATGCTATAATATGAAGTGAAGTTTCTCCTTCTTTTCCTTTAATGTTTTTCAGCTTCAATAATTCTGTTACGTGATACACTATTTAAGGTATTATATCCATTCGTGCATTTAGAATTCCACGAGATATAGGTAGCTTTGATATTGATGTGTAATTCAGATATGTTGATTCATAATATGCTGTTTCATTATGATTATTTGTTTCATCGATATCTATTTTTGTAGCCCAAGCGTATTTTGTGCTGAAAAAGTTGTTCGTTGTATATTTACAATGAATGTATTAAATAAGGTGTCTATTTCATTAATCATAGCATTGTGTTCAAAATTCAGTGGTTGTATTATTATGAGATAAGAAAGATGCTAAATTTGTCATCTTCTGTTGGTAACTGTTTTTAAACTCATTAATTTGATTTGAATCATGTGGAAAAAGTGATATTCTAAGTTTAAACTATTAAATTTATGTAAACAATCATAATCATAAAATAATGATTCCATTTTTAGGAATTAGCTTATTCTTCAAAGCTTTGTAGACGTTTCCCTGAAAAGATGCCGTTGTTATGTTTCCATTAATAATGAGTAGTAGGATATGAAGGGTTTTGTGACTTTTTTTGTAAACGTAAGAATTCATACAATATCGAGCGATTTTGTATCATTTTTTTAACACATTAATTTTAAAATATATTTATTTTTTTATTCTTACATAAATGACCCAACAAGTAAAACCAGATAAAATAGATTATCGAATTTTAGAGGATGGTGTTCCTGTTTATATTCAAAGATTTAAAGGGAAGCAATATTATAGAATTGTTAATCCTGAATACATAAGACATTTATTTAAAAAGGAAGACTGTGAATTATTAAACGTTAATGAATATGAAACCAATAAATCAAAACTGAGATATAAATATATTGGAAGTGATGAAAGGTGTAAAGATAAAGATAAAGTTTATTCAGTTTCATATAATGAATGGAAAACCAATAAGATAAGAAAACATTTAGGAGATTATGGGAAATGTTCTGAATTCTTTAAATCTAGTATATACAAGAGAGTAAAAGAAATTAGAAATAATTATTTTCATGAATGAAAGATTCACTATCATAATGAAATAAAAAATAAAAAAATAAACTTTAAAAATTCATGTCTCAGAATCAACATTGAACTTTAAAAAATTAATGATTATTTGAATTTATGATATCAATTATTTGATTTATTCTTTCTTCAATCTCTTCTATTCTTTTTGTTAAATCATCTATTTTCATTAATGAGGTGATTCTTGATTGAGGAATAGATTTCAAACTAACCACTCCTTTTATTTTTGAAATTTTGAATCCATCAACTTTAAACATTTTATTCAATTTACACGTTGTCAATTCTTCAAATAATTTTTTATTATTAGCATAATAGTCATTAAATTCTTCAACAGATGAAAAAATTTTTGTTTCAGTAATTGGTTTAACAACGTTTATTTTTTGTTGAACATTTTCACTTTCATTGATTTTATTTTTATATAAATGGATAACGTACATTTAAAAAATTTAATTGATGATTTAGTATTTAATCAAAATTTTCTTAATTATTATGATTTAAAATCATATCTCCAAAAATATGATAACAATATAACGGGTGATGATATGGAATATTATTATCCATATTATAAAAATGAAATTTTGAAATATCATGATAGAATAATTTCTAAAATTAAAGACAAAATTAAAAATAATGAATATTCAAAGGGAAAAACTAAATCACAACTTAAACAGTTGAAAGATTTCAAAAATAAAGTATTAACAGAAGAAGATATTGATGAATTATATAAATTATATAATCCTGAGCCACAAAAACCAAAGCCAAAGGAACAAAACGCCCAGGTCCTTCAGACCATAAATGATGCACAAGCTTTAATTTATGATTCATTAGTTAAACCATATTCAGCCCGACTTTTAAATGAAGATCAACTTTTGGAATTCATCCTTCAACATAAACTCGAAGCGGGAAAGTATATCAAACCTTTATATACGGCATATTTAAAACAAATGAATAGAATACATCCAGAATTAATGAAGGAAGGAATGAAATCCAAAATCAAAGCAGATAAAATTAAACCACTTGCAACACCAAAACCTCCAACGACAGTACCGCCTCCTCCTTCAGTTAATCCTTCATCATTCACTTTATTATATCCATTTCAAACATTAAAGAAGCAAAAAGATTTTAAAAAGGATTTCAAAATATTAAATAAACCAATTGACCCGAAAATTCAACCATTAAAGGAAAAATTTAGTCGACCTTCATTTGCTCCATATCCATATTCATACGAAATCGATCATCTGGAATATTCAAAAGGAAACGTTACTTATTTATTTGCCATTAACATTAACACTAGATATTTATATTGCATTCCAGTGAAAGGGAAAACAGAACAGGAAACAAGAAGAGCTATTCAATACTTACTAGATCATGAAAGAGTAGATAATATCAGGGGTGATGGTGATAAAGGATTTCAGGCAGCTATGACTCATTATTTTCCACAAATTAATTTTTACTTCTCATCCTCTCCATATACGTTTCATAATAAAATAGTTGATGCAGTAATGAGAACTCTTAGAGATGCGTTAGGGGTTAACGGTCAGATATACTGGGATGGAAATCATGACTCCATCATACAACAGTTAGTATATTATTACAATAATACATGGCATAGAACTATAAACATGAAACCAGTGGAAATGAAAAATGATATTTCAAAAGAATGGGAATATATTAGAAAGCAAATGGAAAGGTTGAATGATGTTAAACGTGGACAAATTAATTCGGGGCTCATGAATTTTAAACAAGGGGGTAAAGTTTTGATTCATCTCGATTATGGAAAAACTGATAAATCAATGACAAAAAGAAGACGAAGATTTGACACAATAGCTGAATTTGTTAGATATATTAACGGCAATGCATTAGTTGAAGTTGACAATAAATTAATAGAAATTCCGATTTATTTTTACTCCATTATATTTAAATATATATTTAATTTTTTTATTTTCGTAAGAAAGAGTGACAACGAAGCAGCCAAGAGTCCAGACGATGAATATAAAAGAAACTAAACAGAATTAAATCAAAAATATGCTATTACAAAAAGAAGCCACAATGCAGTGGGGTTGAAAACGATAAAGAAATAATCGAAAAATTAGAAACTTATCGTTCAATCATTAAACTGAGTGAAGCAAAAATAAAAGAATTTAATAGAATAAATAAATTGGTTGGAAGAGATGAATTTAATAAAGATGAATTTTTAAACTCAATCCAAATTTAATTTTTATTCCTCTTTGACAACATCTCTCTTTCCATCATTACTGCATAACCGCATTTTCTCAATTTTAGTGGTTTGTTATTTTTAGCAAGTTCTCGCATCATTTTTATCATTTCCTCCCTTGTTATGATTCGTGGTAAATTTTGAGCTTGTGGGGTATCCATTTATGATAAAAATAAAAATTTAAATTATGCCGTTCTAAAGTTTGAGACAACATGACATTATGTCAACAACATGAGGGGAAGGCAGTTATGAATTATTTTTGAAGAACTGAAGGTGCTACCATGTTACCATGTGCTACCAGGTTAATTAACTTCTTTTAAAAAATGAGACAACATGACATTTTGACAACAACACAGGAAATGATTTGTCATGACTTCATCGGAATGAGTGTAAATGACCCAAAAATAAAGTTAGTTTTAAAATTATTTTTATTTTTTATTTTGTATGTAAGAACAGAAATGTCAGTCGAAGCAAAAACATTCACTAACAAATCTAATGGCGAAACATTCACAAAAGGCACTTATAACGGTATTGAAGTCTTACGTAGAGACAAGGATGGTTACATTAATGCAACAAAGATGGCAAGAGAAGCAGGAAAGTTAAACCATTTAAACAGATTTCTCAATAGTGCTAAAATACAGGGAATTCTTGAGTTTTGGATGAACGAATACGGTGGAGCCAAAAGTGGCTCGACCTCAAAACAAGCATTTTATGAGCTTACTAAGGGTGTTATAAATGAATTCAAAGGTATTTACATACATCCTGACCTCGTTCATTTTGTTGCTGAATGGTGCTCTGTAAAGTATGCATTTTATGTCAAAGATATTATGGACTCCATAGACAAGAAAGTTCATGAGAAATTAGATGAAGAAGAACTTGAAGATACAGTAGAGAATGCTAAACCTTTGTTTGAAGAAGAAGTTGGAAAAATGTGCGAAAAACAATTAGAACATGAACGTGAGTTATGTTATGGTTATAGAGATTCTCCATACGAACTAGACCAATGGGAACAAGAAAATTTAAAGAGAGAATTTAGAGAATATGAACTCGCTAAGATAGCATTAGAAGCTGCAGAAAAGAAGTTAAAAGCTTGGGGTTGTTTTGTACAAAAATATTGTGAGTAAATGAACCATTTATTTTTATTGAATTCACCAAAAATAATTTTTAGGGTAGATGGTTAGATCTAACCTCATTTCTAACCTCATAACATTTTGACAACAACACAGGAGGAAGGCAGTTATGAATTATTTTTGAAGAACTGAAGGTGCTACCATGTTACCATGTGCTACCAGGTCATTTAACTTCTTTTAAAAAATGAGACAACATGACATTTTGACAACATTTACGAAAATTTGATGTAGCCCAAAAATAAAGTTAGTTTTAAAATTATTTTTATTTTTTTATTCCTATATAAATGACGGCAACAAACAACAGTGACTATATCGTTTCTGATGAAAAAGTTATTGATTCATTAGCTGAGGAATTAGTTGTGGCAGAAACTAAAACCCTCAACGAAAGAATTGGTGAAAACAAGATTGATTTACATAACTACCTCAAACATGATGGAGGAAGAGGAAGGAAAACTGGTATGGCTTTATTAGTAAATAAAATTTCAAATTTAACGATTATAGATGTTGATATCAATAAATCGTACAATGATGAACTTAAAGAAACAGTTAGAAAAGACATTTTATCAAAACTTTCGGATAAAGATGTTATCGTTAAAACCGCATCAGGAGGTCTTCACATTTATTGCAACACTAATTTCTTCTATGCAGTTTCGAACAGAATGATTAAATGTTATTCCTGCAATGATTATGATATTGACATAATGACTTCTATGGATGATTCAAAGCGTTCATTAGTAGTTATGGCTGATTCAAGAGTTCGCAAGAATGCAACAGAACCAATCAAAACATACTCATTCATTCGTGGAAGTTATGATTCAACATTAACCAGAACAGTGAATGATATATTAAATGATTTGAATATTAAGGTAAGAGTTGAACAGAAGAATGAAGAAATAAAGACTATCATGAATGAAAACAAAGATGTAAACATTGACGATAAACTTGCCCAGAGCATAGTTGATGGCATCTGTGATTTTGAAGTACATAATGACGGTGGAAACATGAATTTAGAAAAGAAATAACATTATTCACACTGTTTCAAGCAATTAATTCGTTACCTAATCATTTAATTAATGAAGCATACGATAACGTTTATAACTTCTGCAATTTAACTGAAAATGCTAAAAGTAATTTTGAAAAAGCACGTGGTAGATATGCACATTTAATGACTTCTCCATTTGTTTTGGTGAAGATTCTAAAACTTTATCAAAAGGAATATTATGATGAATATGTTTTACCTTTATTACGTAAGCCAAAAATAACATTTGATATCAAACTTGATGACTCGTTTTTGATAACAGATATTAGACGCAGGGCTGAAAATCATCAGTATAAAAACAGTTCTGAAGTAATTGAGGATTTATCACGTGTAATCCGTTTTGTAGATTGTGGAAATAAATATTTCATTCAGAAAGATTACAACATACACGACAAAATGAATCAAATATCATTTGTTCTTCAATCAAACATGAAAGAGTCACTCAAAATGATTAAATTATTTAAAGAAGAAGGTAAAACAATAACAGCATGGGACGTACTATTAAATCAATTGTCTTCATTAACCGTTAAGGGTGTTTGCTTTAAATCTGATTCCCCAGATGTTTTCTCAACGTTTCAGGGTTATAAATACAACATTCTTGAAAAGCTTGATTACTCAAAAATTGAGATGTTTATGAATTTCATTAAAGAAGCCATATGTGATAATAATGATGAAGTGTATAAATACCTTCTCGGCTGGATTGCATCAATGATTCAACATCCTGGAATCAAGAATGAAACAGCAATTATTTTGAAAGGACTTCAGGGAACAGGTAAAAACAGATTTACAGACATTATTTCTGAACTTCTCGCCGGTTATTCATGTAAAAACATTACTGAAATAAGTGAGCTAACGGGTAATTTCAATTCAGTAGTTGAAAATAAAATGTTTCTTGTACTTAATGAACTCAAGAATGTAGGTGAAGACAGACTCGCAAACTTCAACGCTTTGAAATCAATTATTACGGATAATGAGATTAGAATTAATGAAAAGAATCAACCCAGAAGAACTGCTCAGAATGTTGCAAACTTCATTTTCGTAACTAACAACGTCTACCCTGTCAAAATTGATGTTGGAGACAGAAGATACGTAGTTTTAAGAGTTAATGGTAAATTCAAGGGTCAATTTGATTACTTCAAGAATTTAATGGATTCATGCACTAAGGAATTTTATGATAATTTACTGACGTATTTTATGCAATATGACCTTTCATCATTTAATGTACGAATCATACGATGACTGAAGCCAAACAAGATTTAATAGAATTATCATCAAATCCTTTAGATGTATGGATAAATACACATTATGATGAATTGTGTGCAGGTATGACGTGTGAAAATGCTCTATTCTGCAAACCATCAGACATGAAAGACAAAAACTTTCAAATGAGTATTAAGGATAAATGTGATAGGAAACATAGAAGAATAGACGGTAAACAAACATGGTGTTATGTTTTGAAAGAAGAAATGAAAGGATTATATAAACAAATTGAACCAAACGATAATGAGGAATCATTTACTGACGATGAAATACCTGTAAATGATGCTTTATAAAGTATGATTGGAATTTATTTTTGCCTTCCTCCTGTGTTGTTGTCAAAATGTCATGTTGTCACACTTTTTAAAAGAAGTTAAATGACCTGGTAGCACATGGTAACATGGTAGCACCCCCAGTTCTTCAAAAATAATTCATAACTGCCTTCCTCCTGTGTTGTTGACATAATGTCATGTCGTCAACATGGTAACATGGTAGCACCCCCAGTTCTTCAAAAATAATTCATAACTGCCTTCCTCCTGTGTTGTTGTCAAAATGTCATGTTGTCACACTTTTTAAAAGAAGTTAAATAACCTGGTAGCACATGGTAACATGGTAGCACCCCCAGTTCTTCAAAAATAATTAATTATTGAATAACCTAAATCATTTACTCACAATATTTCATGCACAAAACGACCCCAAGCTTTTAACTTCTTTTCTGTAGTTCATCCATTACTTCATTACCTAATTAATTACAGACATAAAATATATTTAGTTCATTCAATAAACACGGTACCATGCGAATACAGTCATAAATGGTGGCATGTAATCTTTACTTTGTCCCGTTGTTTGTGTATATCCTGAAACGAAATGTGTATGGTTTCCTTCTCCCTGAGTGTCACTCCAGTAACAATTTATGGCAAACTTAACGTCGTCTTTAACATCATATCCTTTACCTTTTGTCATTGCTGACCAATCCCAATATCTATGCTTATGCCAACCTGCTTGAGATGTGCTTAAATCTATGTAGTGACTGTGTGCAGGTAAATTTTCACCTGAAATCGTTTTACTTCCACCTTTTTCCTTTGAAGAGTTTGCACAATACAAAAACCTGTCAACTATTTGTTCCCATGCACCAACACCAAACATTACTTGAGGACCTCTTGCATCCATAGATGTATAAATAGAACCTACTGGGTTCATTAAATCAAACATATGAGATATTATAGGATTGTCTCTTTTGAACTTAAAATATAGTGTAACTATTTCAGGTTTCTTCTGGTTTGTGTCAGAATATTTTTTATAATATAATCTTATGTTTTCAGGGTAGGTAAAATCTTGACTATAATATTTATTTCTGTCATCTGTATAATAATATACTATTCTCGTTTTTTCTATTGCATTATATCTTTTATATCTATAATAATCTAAATATAATGTTAACTTTTGTTCATCTACATGTGGTGTTCTGACATCATCTCCATAGTCATAATAATATGGTGCTGGAGCTGGGTCAGGCAATGTCATATCTGCCATTTCATAAACTCTTAAATATTTCTTTTGTTCGTCTCCATATAAGTTTAAGTAGCAGTTGTTGTCTAATGGAACTTTAACTTGTGTGTCATCATTCTTTTTATAACTTACATACATTTCATTGTTATTTTTCGGAATGAGTTTCCACCGTATACCATTTTTTAAGGAGTGTACAAACTGCCATCTAAAATATTTATTTTCTTCATTGACAGAAAAGTCGCCAACAATAGTTTCAATATTTTTTGTTCCTATCAAACTTTGGTATATTTCGTTAACATATGTTTTATCCGCTTTAAGGTCTAAACATCCTGAAACCCATCCTGTATCAGCTTTAGTTTTTAAAATCTTTGATGTCCATTCATGATACCATTCAACACTTTCTTTAATTTCATTATCTTTTTCGTCAACATATTCCTTATCTGCTTTCTTCATTATGTCATTTAGGAAACCTTTTATGAATTCCTCATTTAAATTAAATCTTCCAATCTTCAAAACTTTAGGAAATGCATTTAATGCGTAATATCTTTGTTCTTCTGGTGGAATTGATGTTATATCATCCGTTATACCTTTAATTTTTGAATTCATAAATAAAATTTCTTTTATATTTGATATCACTGCACCACCCTTGCAAACGAATTCGAAATGGTCATTTTTCAATACTATCTCCAAATCTCCATATTTCAACCTTTGCGTTTGTTCTGCCGTCTTTGAATTATATGCATATATGGCGTATGTAATGGTCTGAGGGACCTGGGTGCTTTGTGCCTTAAGTTGTTGTGGTTGCTGTTGTTTAATCATTTATTATGATTTAAAAATAAATATTTAATCCGTTATCTCATCACCTATTTTTTCTATTTGAAATTGCCATAATATTTCATTCATGAATTCTAAATCACAATCAAATAGGTCAGTTACTCTAAATTTAATATTTGATAAATCTTTTGAATGAAGAATAAATGAATTCCCGGATAATTGAAACGGATATGATAAAGAAAATGTGTTTAAGTTGATGGATAAAATGTTTTGTATTGATGGGTAAGAGTTAGGGTCTAATGTTTGATGTGAAAATCTCATTGGGGTATTAACTTTATCACATTTGATTAAAATGAAATTGGAACCAGTGTCAGAATACAAAACATCCCCAACATCTTTTTCAAAATTTAATATCCCCAACAATGAACGAAGATGAGGAGTACAAAATTTAATTTTCAGCGGAAATTTAATAAGGTTATTTATTTCATCAAGTTCAAAAAGTTTATCAGGTTTTGATTTAAAATTTTCTTCATACCATACGATAAATGATTCATTTAAATAACTTAAAATCATGTTAATATCCCATTTCGTGATCACATTATTTATATGCATATCATACGTTTTTTCATGGTCATCTTTAATAAATGATATATAATCTGAAGGGTCTAAAAGAATGGGATTAAATTTACCACTCACAGAAACGAGAGTAACATTATAAATTCCACTAACTGTTAAATTTAATTCACAGCTATTATTCGAAATAATATTGATAATTGACATTTTTATTACGATTAAAAATATGGTAAAGCGTTATTTTCCAGTGATAAATAAAACTAGAATAAGATTACCTCAAGAATTCATAAATTCAACGAATAAGAAATTCATTCATGTTATAAATTTTAGTGTTTTCAGAAAATATGAGTCAATGTCATATTCATCATCGGGTTATATTTCACTTCATTCAAATTTAGTTCAATCAAACCCATATAATGACCATTTCATAAGATTTTCAGATGGTATTAAAAATGTAATTGATAGATTAAAATATGAACAGATTGACAATATCGAATTTTTGGAATTTTGGTTTAAATATCCCGATGGAAAAAAGATTGAAGTTAAAGATAAAGCTGATACTATAACAAAAACAATTACAATGACCGATCCAGATAGTGGGGAACAAAAAGAAATAAAACAAACGATAGAAACTGGTGAAAGGTCAATTATTATCGATTATGATTCAAAGGATTATTATTCGATAATGTTAATGCTTGAATATTAAATAGCCTTAACAAAGAATTTTTCAAGTGATATTTTATATTCATCAACTATTTTATTATAAATATCATTATATGTTAAATGAAGTTCAGTTGTTGTTCCGTTCTTTGATATCTTAATTGTGCTAATATCCTTTATAGGATTTATTTTTGCAACTGTTCCGCAGCATGAAACCTCATCATCTATGAAAAATTGAATCTTAACGTCTGAATCTTGAACATCACAAAGAATGGCGATAATGTGAATTAATGATTCATAAGGTAAAATAATTAAACCAGATTGGTCAATTAAATTTATTATTGAATCATAATTATCAGTTATTATATCACGGTAAATTTTCATTAATTCAGAATTAATGTCTATTTTATATGGCGCATTGCGACTGGAATCGTAGATTCCTGGGTTCTCGATGTTTGATGAAAGAGGTGGGGGGTATGTTGGATAAGTGGGAATTTCAACAGGTTCTTTACCAGGTTCAGATAAAATGATTGGGTCTCCATTCTCATGGTTTTCTTCATTCTTCGGTAAGTCACGAGTTAATAAATTTGGTTGAGTTGCTGACCTTGTTAATTCAGGGCTAACATTAACTTTAACATTTTGAATAATTCGTGATTTATCATCATTTACGTTATAACCAACCGTAATCTCTGCTTTTGCGTTTGTGTTCTTTTGACTTGTGAAACGTCTTCTCATTTATAATTGAATAAAAAAAGAAAAATATATTTAAAGTTTTATTTAGTTGTTACGGTAATATCCCAAGGTTCATCATTGTTTGCTTATACTTTCTTTGTAACTGCACCAATTATGTTATTGATATTGCTTTGAGTTTCTTCCAGTCTTATTTTATCATTTACAATATCTTTAATCATTTCATTACATGCATTCTTAAAACCATCTGATTTTTCTAATTTACGTCTATCACTTTCTTTAATTAAATCAAAGTTATAACCTTGTTGAGAATAAAGTGGTTTCTTTATCAATTCCTTGAACGCTTCTGAAAGTGAAGATGAGGAAATTCTTGCCACTTGAATTGGTTTAAATTCTGCTTTCATTGCTTCTTTCTGTTCATTGAACACTGGATCGAATAAAGCAACTTTAAAGAATTTCTTAGCTGAAATTTCAGGTCTAATATTTGCATATTGACCATCAAACTAATTAACATATCGTGGTAATCCATCCGGTCCCTCTTCAACAGCATTTAATTTTTCATTGAAATAAGAATATGGAATAAGATGGTATGAATACGTTGGACCATTTTCACCTTCTCCAATGTATTGTTTAATAGCTTTTCCATTTTCATCAAATTGTATAGGATAACGTTCATTATATGCTTTACGTTTAGGATAATCAGATACAGTTAATTTATAACCATTTATGACTTTAATATTACCTTGACCATCAGTAACGAAAACTTCATTTATACCATCAGGTTTTCCATTTGGTCCTGTAATGTCTGCTTCATGTGCTTCCCAATTTGGTCCATGACGTTTGGCATATGCTTGAGCTTCTGGTAATGTTAAAACGTTTCTCATTTGTTTAACATCCTTTTGAAGACCAGCAACAATATGAACTAATTCTTTCATTCCATCTGGAACTTTCATAGTTCTATTATAATATACACCCTTTTTGTTTGTCCCTTGTTTTAATGGAACCTGTAGAAGATTTGCTATTTCTGTCATGTTTAATTATAAATAAAAAATAAAAATTAATTATAAAAAGTTAATCAAATTTAACACCTCCTTTATTTAAATCAACTATTATTTTTCCATGTTCACCTAATTGTTGATATTGTGTGTAAAGTTCATTAATGCTCATTGGTAAATTCACTTGATAAAGCATAACGTTCAACTGTTGACGACTAAACCCACTGAAAATGAAAAGTGTTGATAGATTTGATTTAATGTTTGTGCTTAATGCTTTGAAATATTGAACAGCCATAAAGAATGAACACTGAATGTGTCGACATTGAGTTAATAATTGATTAAAATATGATTTCTCATTTGTTATTAGTTTTGATTTCACGGCATCATCTAGAAAAATTAGTGAATGCAAAAATTCTCTATCAAAATTTGAAATAGAAAGTGTTTCAAATAATTCATCCCTTTGTTTATTAATAATTTTATCCTCTAATCCTTGCTTCTTGATTGTATTATATAATTCTTTATACATTAAAAAGTTTTTTAAATAATCTTCTGCTTCTTCTTGTGATAAATAAATAATTGGAATTTTGATTAAATGCTTTAAAGATTCAAATGTATCATCTGAAGGTGAACCTGAACGGTTGATATAAATTAACACATGTGAATGGGGGGAAGTGTTAGCAATAATGATAATTTGTTTTAATATCGTTAATGTTTTACCTTTATTTTGTTTACCAATTGCTGCAGTGATTGAATTTAAGTAACATTCAGAATATGGAATTTTCATTAATTTTTCCTTAGATAGAGCATTTCTATTATCACTCAATGCTTCATTAATCATATCATCTACGTATGTATTATATACATCTGTTAATTCTTCAGAATTGAAATCCATTTAATCAAAAATAAATTTATAATTTTAAACATTTCTATTCATCAATATTTCATCATATGAACTTCTATACTGTGGTGGTGTACCTGTTGGATGATATTTCAAACCTTCATCCGGTGTCCATGTCCAATATGTAGTCCTAGTAAACCAAACCTGAGGAGGATTTGTCACTTTGAACAGTAAGTGTCATTTTCACCCTGAATGATTGGATAAGCTTTCACTTGTACTGTAACTTGTGAGTTGAAAGTTTCTAATCCATCAAAGAATATACCCGCTCCATCACGTTGAACTGGAATAGTGCATAAGAATGAAGTTTGGTCTTTCCATGTTCTAGCTAATGGCATGCCATTATCATCATTCAGTGGTCTAGTTAATGAGTCCTCGTATTCTTCTGTGCATTCATTCACTCCATCTAAATCAGAAGCTTGAAGCATACGTGTAAAGAATATGTCGCCCACTGTGGTCATCGCTTGATCGGGGAAGTTTCTGGAATCTATAGTGACCTGAAGACCTCGAAGCATTGGATTTTCTAAAACCGTTCTTTGCATTGCATTCTTCGGAAATGTTAACACAACATCTGTAACATTATGAAGAGCGTATGAGAAATCTGAGCTAATACCTTCAGGAGTGATGCATCCTCCATTTAGTGAACGAACGTCAATATGTTGAGCTGGAATCATGAATGGATCTTCCTTACTAAATAAACGTGGTATTGCTTTAACTGATTCTTCAATTAAACCGTATCCTGGTGTAATGCATTTATCCTCTAAAACTTCCATCTTTGTGCATGAAATAATAACGTCATCAACTGTTGCGTCAGCAGATGTAGTGGCTAAGCCTGTAATTAATTTGGAAGGAAGTCCGATTTGTTGGAATTTGCGATCATATTTATAAACATGATTCATAATCTTTTCATAATTTTTCATCAGTTATCTTTTCATAAACGTAATTTTGTAAATCAGCAACTCTTAACGGGTCAACCTGACAAAATACTAAAGTATCCCTGAAAACATAATATTTAAGAATGATTTCACCAAATGATTTAGGATAATCATCGAACGCCTGAAATGCTAACAAATCATTTACCGGAATAATCATATCAAAAGTGATATCAACTTCTTCATTTGCTTTCTTGAAAACTTCTGAAGGGTCAATATATTTACCACATACTGAGTTATCATATTTTTTGAACATTATTATATAACGAATGAACAAACTTTTTAACTTTCCTTTCTGATTTTGGTTTATATGTTGCAAATGCGAAAGATTCACGGGCACAATCCATCTGAAGATAACCGGCATCACCTCTTTCAGTTTCTACTTCTAATTGTTTAAAGCTTTGATTTGATGATTTGTAACCAACGAATAAACGCATGCATTTAAAAGCGGCATCACATGTGAAAGCTTTATTTGAAACTAGAGTTGCTTTAACTTTGCGTTTAATATATGTGTCACCTAATTGATTCACATCATGAGCTGGATTTGTAATTCTTAAATGAGTTTGTTTATCATCAAAATATGGAGCATCAGAGTCATAGCATGAACTTTCAAGTTCTCTATAATATCTTCTACCATCATTCTTTGCGAATATTTCATTTATCTTTTCGAATGAATGAAACACATTTCCATTAATTGGTTTAGTTTTGGCACCAAATAGTTAGTCGTCATTTATTAATAAATAAAAAATCAAAATTAAAAGATGAAAATGAATTTTTAATTTTAATGAAATAATCAACTATGGCTGCAGGTATATTTAAGAAACTGTGGATAAAGTAAAAAGAGGAGCGCATAAAGTTTGGGAAACAATGAAGAAAGGAGCAAATTGGATATTTAAGAATAAAGAAGTAATTAGTGACGTTGCTGAATCAATAACACCAAAAGCCGCCCCAATAAGAGAAATATTAAATAAAGGAGAAAAAGTTTATCAAAGACTTCAACCGATACTAAGATAAAAATAATATTTATTTATTTTTCCACTATTTACCTCCTATTTTATTAAGTATTCCTTCAGCTATTCCACCAATTGCGTTACCTGCTTGTGCTCCCATCGCTGGATTACCTGCTTTAGTACCTAATACTCCACCTATGATAGTTCCTGCCGTTTTCGCTACTGGTGCCAAAAAGTTTGCAACAGGTTTAATAACCTTTTTATAAACCCAACCTGCAGCTTTCTTAATTCCATCCCATAATTTTTTAAAGAATCCTGCCGCCATTTCTGATTTAATATTAATTAAAAAATATATTTCATCACTTATATTCTAATTTTTATTTAATGATAAATGAAACCGATTTTAAAAATAAATGAAACAGAGGAGGAAGAAATCAATGAAAGTGAAAATGTTCAACAAAAAATAAACGTTGTTAAACCAATTACTGAAACAAAAATTTTTTCATCTGTTGAAGAATTTAATGACTATTATGCTAATAATAAAAAAATTATTTGAAGAATTGACAACGTGTAAATTGAATAAAATGTTTAAAGTTGATGGATTCAAAATTTCAAAAATAAAAGGAGTGGTTAGTTTGAAATCTATTCCTCAATCAAGAATCACCTCATTAATGAAAATAGATGATTTAACAAAAAGAATAGAAGAGATTGAAGAAAGAATAAATCAAATAATTGATTTCATAAATTCAAATAATCATTAATTTTTTAAAGTTCAATGTTGATTCTGAGACATGAATTTTTAAAGTTTATTTTTTTATTTTTTATTTCATTATGGTAGTGAATCTTTCATTCATGAAAATAATTATTTCTAATTTCTTTTACTCTCTCGTATATACTAGATTTAAAGAATTCAGAACATTTCCCATAATCTCCTAAATTTCTTATCTTATTGGTTTTCCATTCATTATATGAAACTGAATAAACTTTATCTTTATCTTTACACCTTTCATCACTTCCAATATATTTATATCTCAGTTTTGATTTATTGGTTTCATATTCATTAACGTTTAATAATTCACAGTCTTCCTTTTTAAATAAATGTCTTATGTATCAGGATTAACAATTCTATAATATTGCTTCCCTTTAAATCTTTGAATATAAACAGGAACACCATCCTCTAAAATTCGATAATCTATTTTATCTGGTTTTACTTGTTGGGTCATTTATGTAAGAATAAAAAAATAAATATATTTTAAAATTAATGTGTTAAAAAAATGATACAAAATCGCTCGATATTGTATGAATTCTTACGTTTACAAAAAAAGTCACAAAACCCATCATATCCTACTACTATAATGATAGTAACCAAAATATAGGTTATTTTAATTTTGTTTATTTTCTTTCGCGCCATGTGATTTGAGATAATTCTTAATTTCTTCATTAGTGGCAAATACAAAAGGAGTTTGTACATAATCATTTTGAATATTTACTTCAGCACCATGTGATATTAGAGCTTCAATTATCTCTAAACTATTACTATAAACTGCATAATGAAGAGCAGAAGATCCATAGTTATTTTTGGCATTTACATTTGCGCCATGTGAAAGAAGCATATTAACAAAATCAATTTTATTATCTTTCGCAGAAATATGAAGGGCAATCGATCCTTCTGCATCTTTTCCATTGACATCTCCGCCATGCGTGATAAAGAATTCACAAAGAGATAATATGTTGAAATGTACTGATTCTACAACGCATTTGTTGACATCATTTAGCTTGTCCAAATAAACTAAAAATGCTTGAAGATTTTTATAATAAATACAATCCGTAATGTCTATTTTTAAGTTGTATTCGTTCATCAAGAAAGTAACAAAATCGATGTTATGAGAAGCAATTGCATAACTCATACATAATTCATCTGGTTTAATAGATTTTAAACAGGCGCTCATGATGTCTGGATTTCCACTAAAAATGAATAATATAGACAATTGTATAACCTTGTTGGGCCATGGATTGTACTTAAATGCTTAAAACAATTAACTGCACCATAATAGCTACAATAATTAAAGAAATCTTCAATTCGGTAATGATATGTGCTATCTTTCTGAGGAAAATTTAATTCGATGTATGATATAAATTCTTTAACGTCATCATTCATTATTATTTTCATAAGAGAAATATGAGTTGGATATTGATAATCTTCAGAAATGAAATACTCGTCAAGTACACCGCGACCATAAGCAGACTCTATTGCAGTTTTTCCAGAAAGCATCAATTTGAATAGATTTAATAGGGAATCATTAGAATTTGGATTTTCATTGATGAATTTTTTTAATAGGATAAGATATGATTTAACATACCGATTATTAAATTTTTCTGCATTTTCTATTGATCGTATGATCTCAGGAACTGTAAGTAGCTTTGTTTCGATTAAACTTATGGCAATATCAAATCTATAGTTATTTCATACATTTCTTGGACAGATTTTCATTCCTTGGCACTTTTCGTAAACGGTAAACAAAATTCATCAAAGGTGAAACAAATATGTGGAAAGTTTAGATAAATGACTGGCTAACTCATATATTCTGAAATGTTAAGTTGTTAATCTTGGAAAAAAAAATGTTAAATTATTTAATCTAAAAATAAACATTTACTTAATAAAAGTAGGGAATTCTCTTAATTTGCCTATTCATACCTTTGTTACTCTTCAGATTTCTTCTCATCATTCTTTGTTTCCTTCTTTGATTTCTTTTCTGGTTCTGGAAGAGAAGAACGTTCTGGAACCTTGTATTCAGACCATTTCTTCTTGAAATCTTCGAGTTCATCTTCACGGATATTCTTAATTGTTTGATGTGTTTCAACTTTACCATCTTTGTCAGTTACTTCATGAATGGTTAATGATTTATTGCCAATACGCTTTGTATCGACAACTTTACGGAGACCACTCTTTGAATCAACTTCTTCACGATGGATGTGTTGAATTCCATCAGAACCTGTGTATATTGATGATGAGATTGAATAGTACTGTGGGATTTCTTCTTCACTTTCAGACTTTTCTTCAAATTCTTCCTCTTCCTCATGTTTCTCTACTTTCTTTGGTTTTGACTTAGCATTCTTCTTATTATTCTTCTTAGAATGCTTCTTCTCATTGTCATCTTCTATCATCTCATAGCGAGGAACATCACGACGAGTGAATGCATCATAAAAATCACCAAATTCTTCTTCCATTGCGCGATCTACAGAATCCATCCAACGTGACATGTAATCAAAGACGCCGGAACGCATTGGGGCAAAGCGTCTGTAGTAGACAATTGGCTCATCAAACCAGTCGAACATTAATGAAAAATGATTAATTGCTCAGACAAATTTGCATCTCAAAAATTTTGAATATATAAGTGTCCGACCAAAAATTGAAACCAATTTTGTAAATTTTTGAGAAACCCTTCAATTTTAGAGAAAACGATTTATATGTATCAAATTCGTTTTTAATGTATGTTGAATTTTCAAATAAATTAACCTGGAAAACAACAATTTTTTCGAAAAGTGGAAAATTTACGGAAATGACTGTGGAAGATATCAAAAGATATTCCCTGTTAGAACTGCTGTAGCAATACAGTTGCATTGGTCGACAAAGCTGAAGAAAAGTTTTTATTAAAAAAAGGATTATTAGACCCGAATGCTAAACCACCATGAGGTTTGGATTCAAATACTGAGGAGAAAAAACGCACAATATATATTTAGAATTATTAAGCAAACTATGCGTTATATAATTTGATTTATATTTGTTTTAAAATAAATACATTGTTGTTTTATGAAAAACTTCTTAATATTGATTTCACTTACTTTCAGATTTTATTCATTTCAAAATTGAAATAAAATTTCGAGATTTCTCTGTATTGATGCATGAGTGAATTGTTTTATAATTAATATGAAATGTGTTTAACAAAACTATCTTTTTACTTGTAATATTCTCTGTCCTTCCTGAGAAATGGTGAAGGTTGATGAATATCAAATCAAAGAGGTCTTCAGTGTTGAAACTATTTCAAACTTCTTATTTTATAAAGAATATGGAATTAAATTAGACAAATCTGATGACTTCGAAAAAGATGATCTTAAAAATCTGGAAATTCATACAGAGAATACAATATACAAAGCAATTATGAATAACGACAAAGAAAATTTCATCATATTCACCGAAAGAGATGAATTTGATAAAGATCAAAAGCTCAAAAGCGATTTATATCCATATTCTTACAAAGGATATTCATTACTTGAATTATGTTGTTACCATGGAGCTGTTGATTGTTTCAAGTTATTAAGATCAAAATTTAAATCCGAAATAACTCAAAAATGTCTGAAATTTTCATTTTTAGGCGGAAATCAAGAGATCATGAGTGAATGTTTGAAATATCAAAAACCAAATGAAAAACGCATGATATATGCAATTATTTCACACAACATTGATTTTGTTACATTCTTAATGAATGAGTACAATATAGAGATCAATTTAAAATATTGTGGAATTTACAATAATCTCGATTCCTTTTTAGTTTATTTCGATCAAACTAATGATATAAACAAATGCTTTGTTTATACACCGCTATTTAATAGTCCATCCCTTTTGGAATACTTCCTTTCACATGGTGCGAATGTCAATGATAAAGATGAAAATGGAAAAACCGCACTTCATTATACAGCAGTGAATAATAGTAAAGAAATTGCTGAAGTTCTCCTTTCACATGGTGCGAATATCAATGAAAAAAATGAAAATGGAGACACCGCACTTCATATTGCAGCATGGAATAATAGTAAAGAAATTGCTGAAGTTCTCCTTTCACATGGTGCGAATATCAATGAAAAAATGAAAATGGAGACACCGCACTTCATATTGCAGCATGGAATAATAGTAAAGAAACAGCTGAAGTTCTCCTTTCACATGGTGCGAATATCAATGAAAAAATGAAAATGGAGACACCGCACTTCATATTGCAGCATGGAATAATAGTAAAGAAACAGCTGAAGTTCTCCTTTCACATGGTGCGAATATCAATGAAAAAATGAAAATGGAGACACCGCACTTCATATTGCAGCATGGAATAATAGTAAAGAAATTGCTGAAGTTCTCCTTTCACATGGTGCGAATATCAATGAAAAAAATGAAAATGGAGACACCGCACTTCATATTGCAGCATGGAATAATAGTAAAGAAATTGCTGAAGTTCTCCTTTCACATGGTGCGAATATCAATGAAAAAATGAAAATGGAGACACCGCACTTCATATTGCAGCATGGAATAATAGTAAAGAAATTGCTGAAGTTCTCCTTTCACATGGTGCGAGTATCAATGAAAAAAATGAAAATGGAGACACCGCACTTCATATTGCAGCATGGAATAATAGTAAAGAAACAGCTGAAGTTCTCCTTTCACATGGTGCGAATATCAATGAAAAAATGAAAATGGAGACACCGCACTTCATATTGCAGCATGGAATAATAGTAAAGAAACAGCTGAAGTTCTCCTTTCACATGGTGCGAATATCAATGAAAAAATGAAAATGGAGACACCGCACTTCATATTGCAGCATGGAATAATAGTAAAGAAACAGCTGAAGTTCTCCTTTCACATGGTGCGAATATCAATGAAAAAATGAAAATGGAGACACCGCACTTCATATTGCAGCATGGAATAATAGTAAAGAAATTGCTGAAGTTCTCCTTTCACATGGTGCGAGTATCAATGAAAAAATGAAAATGGAGACACCGCACTTCATATTGCAGCATGGAATAATAGTAAAGAAACAGCTGAAGTTCTCCTTTCACATGGTGCGAATATCAATGAAAAAATGAAAATGGAGACACCGCACTTCATATTGCAGCATGGAATAATAGTAAAGAAATTGCTGAAGTTCTCCTTTCACATGGTGCGAATATCAATGAAAAAAATGAAAATGGAGACACCGCACTTCATATTGCAGCAAATAAAAACTATCCAGAAATTACTGAAGTTCTCCTTTCACATGGTGCAATTAATGCTCTTACATAGATACTATTCTTTTTATCGTAGTTTTGAAGCTGAGTTTCATTAGGAATAAAAAAAATAGTTAAGCTTTTCCACTTATTCTATTTATATTACCTTATTATAACTTAAATAGTATAGCTCAAAAATATATTGCAATCAAAACATATTGATTTGAACGAAAATGACAAAAAAAATATATACATTTTATTGGCGCTTCATAAAATCCTAGGATCAAAACAATTTTAAATAATTAATAAATCTTCAATATTTGGAAGAATATTCATTTTTATGCAGTAATTAATATGATTTCAAGCATATTTATGAATATTTCATGCCTTTTGAGTTAGCTAAACAAATTGTCAGAGTTCATTCAAATCTAATTTACCGGCGTGAATTGGAATACAAAATTTAAATAGCAAGCTTGATGATTATTGCACTGCATGCGAGAAAAAAAATGTCGATTAATTAATTTGCGCCGATAGATGAATGAAAATTTGTTCATAAATAATTTTTCAGTATATTTTTGCAATCTTGTTAGACTTTTGGCGATGAAATTTAAATTTGAAAATTACCAAGTTTTTCCACTCAAAAAGGCAGGGGTTGTCCCAGAATGATCAAAGGCACCATAAAAGGGCAACTTTATTACGTACTATATACTTATGTTCTATATTTATTTTTGAAGAGCTCATATTCATTCCAATAGATAACTTAGAGTTGTAAGAGGTTGTGTTTTCATCTTTAAAATTATAATAATAACTTCTAAAATCTAATAAACAAATAATTTTTAGTCGAACAAATAAAGAAAACAATATAAAATAAAAAAAAAATGATTCAAAAGTCTTGTAAAATAAAGTCTTTCTTAAATAGAAGCTTGTACCTTCCCTATAACAACTGTCATGATAAAGTTTTAGGATATTTAATATTGGTTGAGAAAATAAGATTTCAAAATCAATAATTTGGTAGTTACATGCAAGTTTGCCTTTGCTTACTTGAGTATAAGCTTTTTAGTACTCGTATTTTTTGTTTTTGATAGATATAAATAAAAATAACGATTGCAACGAAAGAAATTATTTGCAAATTTGAAAGAAGAACGTTGGATTATGCTTTTATTGCTAGACTGTAATCATTTAAAAGAGGAAGAATGCCTTGATATTAAAGCGATTATCTGAATAATTGAAATTTTGAATTTGAAATTTTGTGTTATAAGATAAAGCATCATAGCACCATAAACTTTAGCCTATTTTATGCTAGTTTTTAAAAACTAGCATAAAGAAAGGTAGGGTTGTTAAAAATATCAAAAATTAGCGTTTTGAAGACACCATGGTGTCTTATAATTTTCCCTTCCTTATTGGCGTGTAGAAATAAATGCGCCAATAGATTGAAGAAGAAGAATTGTTTTTCTCTTAATGAACTTTAATCCTTTTGATATAAGAATATTAAAAACATTAATATAATTTCGATTTCGGAAATTAAATTTCCAAATTTTTTGTCGATTTCGGAAATAACAGGATCCCGCATCCAACACGCAACAACAAAACATAAAACACACTTTTTGGTTCTTTCATCGTTTTAATCGTAATTTATGTAATACATGATTTGGATAAATTTTACAAAAATAGAACCTATATTATATTCTTTTCAAAGATTCTTGCAAATCATCAAAAATAATTGTATTTTAAAAAACGATCAAATTATCCTTTCATTATTTTAAACTTAAATTAGTTTTTATGATTGACTAAAGCAATCATATTTATTCATCATTAAATAAACAAAAAAATAATATTTGAGAGTTATTTCAAAAAACACATTGAATTTATTAATTTGTCTCAATTTCAGTATTATAAATTTTTATAATTTCAATATTTTGAAATACACTTTTTAATATTTCAATATTTATGATATTTCAATGTATTAAGTGGTCTCAAATTGAGCTTCTCAAATATAAGTTGGCCTATTCAAATAATAAAATTAAATAATATTTAAAATAATAAATAAAAGTGATTGAGGTCATAGCAAAACGGCTGTTTCAGTCATTAATTCTTAAAAATAAAAAGGGTAAAAACTAAATAAAATGTGTAAAATTCAATAGTGTCTGTGCTATCGTTCAATTTGAAGGTGTCTTTTGAAACCGCAAGACACATTGAATTTTTGAATAGTGTATTATGGTTTGACAGACACCAATGAAAAAAATAAAATGATATTTATTTTAAATATATAAGATCCTTATATAAAATATAAATATTTTATCGTTTTATTTTCTTGTTTTAGAAATGTTTTTTATTGAAAAATCAATAAAACTAACTCCAAAATAAAATTTTTGATATAAAGACACTATGATGACACCAGGCAAATCTTCCAAGACACCTATCGTCGGGAATCTAACAACCCTAAAGAAAGGCCCTCGGTGCTAGGTTATATAAATTTTTTAAGGGTGTCGGAAAGTGAAGTGAAAGCTATTATAAAAACATCACTTTTCAAACCCAAAAAAATATTTTTATTTTGATTTATTTATATGGGTATAAACCTTAAGTGATGTTGTATCATAGTATCATATTTAAACTAAGTAAAATCGATGTTTATGATTATAAGGTTATCGAAAAAATACAAAAATCATACAAAATTTTTAAAATCTGGATGGGAAAAAGTGCATTTATCTCAATATCTGAGAATTGAAAATAAAATTTGTTCTGTAAAACTTTTAGTATAGCTATTGAAATTTTGTGTTTAATATATCTCACTAGCATAAACACAATATTGGAGGACTAGATACAAATCTAATTAAACTTTGAATGAGACTATTTCGACTGAAAACTACTACCATTGAGTTTAATCCAGTGAGATGGTAGTGCAATCGGTCTTAGTTTTGAAGTTACCCACTAATTGCATCTCGACACTTTTTAACAAGTGCCAAATGTTTTCTGTAAAATATTTAGTATCTTGTACCTAGATATCATTCTTGGAGTATCAGCCCCTGCCATGGAAAAACCATGGACTAGATAGGTCCGCAAGTTCGAAAATTGCGAAACAGTTTTCTTCATACTGGAAGTATCCAAGACATCAATATCATAGAAATAAAAACCTTAGTATATACCCTACTAATATATGTTTCAATAAAAATATCATTAAGCAATACTCGAAATCGCGTCACCTCACTTTCCGGCACCTTTAATAATCGTTTTCCCACAAATTATAGGTGGAGTGAGGAAAAACTATGGGAAATCTGGGTATTTTTGGGCTTATAGAAAGATGTATAAAATTATTTAACGTAAAACATCATATTTATTTCAAAGGTGCAGTAAATAAACACAAAACAAAGAAAATAGATTCAAATTATTGTCTTATTGATAAAGCGCTGTTGTGGAAGAGCTGTATATGCTTTGCTTCTTGACTATCAAACATAACATCCATAATCATCTTGTTTTCTAGCATGTAGCTTCTCATGAAATTATGAAATCCAATGATATTTGGATTATTTGTTTTTGCAAGGGCCAAAGCGACAATCTTTGGTTGAAGGTTCTTTACAAGATGCATTCCATCAAGAACAATGTCCATGTTTATTGTGGGATCATTTGTATTCTTGATTGCATTGAAAATTTTGACACTTCTATCAAAAAGAGCCTTGTGAGTGACAGATAACTCATCACAGAGCTTTCCATTCTCTGTAATGAACTTCTGGAAGGTTGCATCAACGTTTTTGACAGCTTTTTCTTGGAAATTCAGTAATCTATCAATAGAATTGAAGTAAGAGCCGAAAAGAGACCTGGAAATATTCATTTTGATATGCGGGGAGAAGTTCATCGGCGTTATATGTTGTTCTATCGCTTTGAAAATTCTTGGAATAATTTCTTTGGCTTCAAAGACATCTTGGACCGAGAAATTGAAATCTACATAATGTAGAGACTCAATTAACGGTAGGAATTTCATCAAAACGAAATTTTTTGTAAATTTCTTTGTTTCTTCCTCGATTTTCTTTCTTTCCGTGGAAACAAAGTATATAGCAGAGAACAGTGAGTCACTCAGTGCACTGAGATCCGAAACATTTGATCTTACAGACTCATAAGCATTATTCAACTCATTTTCACCCAAAAACTTGACGTAAGTAGTAAATCTTGATATCTGACTTAAACTTAAGCACTTCTGGGAGTAAAGTAATGCTTGTTCTGCCAAATCTTTGCCGGAATTAAAATTAATTTCTTTTGCGTTAAGAAAAGCGAGGCCATCAATGATATCATCGAAGTTTTTTGTTGGTCTGAGCTTCAATTCGTTCCTTTCATCGCCTGATGACCAAATTTTGATCAATAATACGCTATTATGGTCATTTGGAGTGGTAACATCGGAAAGAGTCAAGAAATGGTCATTCAATGACTTCACATCATCTTTGTTTTCTACGTGGACAAGGAAAGTTTTCGTCATTGCATACATTACATGTAAATCTCTTGGAGAAACGACAAAGTAAGGGTCGCATTGGTCAATTGAATTGGAAAGGCTGTCGTTTATCTTAGAAACTTCAAATTGCTTCACGGCGTTGAAGAAAATATCAAGATTTACCTGTTCTAATAAGGAAGAATCAGTAATATCCTTGAAAATGGGAGATGGGAAGAGATTCTGAGGGTACGAGCAACGTATTATCTGGCAGACGTCATGAAGGATCGATGCTTCGGTACAAAAAATGGGATTTTCAAGAAAATTGCAAAATGTACTCTCAAAAATGAAAATGTTTGAGAATGTATCGCCAGAAAGCTTTTGTAAGAACGTAATTGCGGGGTCTGGTAAGAGACTGATACATTGTACCATACGAGAAATCAATTTTATTGCAAAGATTAGACAATTTGTCCAATATGGTCTTCTCGAGAGCCTTTCATCAATAAGAGTGTATTCATACTGATCTTTAGCAATAATTTCTTTAAATTCGCGAATTATTGGTTTTAATAAAACTCCGAAAAATTGGCCAGGATTTGTTGAAAGGAAGTAGCTGAAGCATATGTCTGACAAAAATTTGAACTTCATGGAGAAATTGCGGCCATGAAGAGTGCGATGAATCAAAAATAAATTGTTGATCAGCGAAATTGCAAGATCTTGCAACTTGAGAGTTGAGAATGAAGAGTAAATGGCGGGAAATGTTGAAAATAGGAAAAATGTTTTGTCATTTGGAGAAATGATGTCTAAAACTTGGAAAAAGTAAATAATTTGTGCAAACACTTCGGGATTATTAATCAGCATGTGAATTAAGTAAGAAAACCGATCTTTGTGAACAGTTTTTGAAAAAAGTTTCAGTGTATTTCCTATTGAGATAGGGACAAGATCTTTCAAAAGAAAAACCATATCTTCCATCGGCTGTTCTACTTTAAGAATAGATAATAGGTTAATCCTGTTAAGAAGATATTGTGCTAAAATTAATTTTGTGTATTGATCTCTGAGGTCAGTTTGAGATTTCAAATTGACGGAATTAATAGCAACAATTGTTCCGCGTTCTTCTGTATATTTCTCTTGAAATTCTTCAAATTTATGATGAAAATCGGACATGTTGCCAAAAATTGAAGAATCTGTCACGTTTTTAAAAAATTGAAGTGGTTAAGAAAATTGGAATATTCAAATGAACATAAAGAGAATGTGATATTTTTTAGAACTATCATCAAAGGTACATTCACTATTTTTGACAAAATTTTAAATTTTCATGGGGTTGTAAATCTTATAATAACTAGATGAATAAGGAATGAATCCCAGTATAATGTGCATCATTATATTAAACACTATATGTAAGGCTAATGATTCTATTAACACTTATGAAGATCTATAGTATTTGAGCAGATAAATTTGATAATTTCCAAAACTCTTATATTTCAAATTAAAGTGTGCGAATGCATTTAAATGAGAGCAAAAAGAGATTGATGCTGTTAAAACTAGGTGTTAATTTGCAATTATTTCGCATCACAAGAACTACCCAGTAAATTCGGCTATCTTTCTTTGCAATTATTCTCCATTATACATATAATATAATGGTTAGGGTTTGAAGAAAAGTTACTAGAGAATTATTGACTTTTGAAATAATGCAGAATTTTACTTGAAGAAATCATTAATTTATGAGTTCCAAATTGCTAAGCATGACGAAGGATCATTAAATTTGCTACAATTAAATACACTTATTGCAGAATTAAGATTTTTGAAATTAAAAGTTTGAAATATTGCCTTTTTGAATAAAAATTTAAATTTTATTATATAATCATGATAATATCTTATAGAAATTAAAAGAAAATATTTTAAACCATTCAAATATTTTGAATGTCTTATCAATTTAAAATATTAAATAGCTAGCTTGATTTTATCATCATTAGTTGTTATCAAAGTTTTCTTCTTTTGATGAACAACAGTAAATGATTTGTTAATTACTTGTCTTCCTTTTTCGCAGCAAAATCGAAAGTTATGATGATAATCTTGCTGTCAATTTTGAAACTCTCTGATTTACAAGTAAGCATTCCTTTGGAAAAGCAGTCCTATTCTGTTTTCAAGATATTTTAAAGCCTCCATTTCATACAATGCGCAGATCTATTCGAAATTGCAAGAACTCTCAAGAAAAATGCAGCAGCAAAGAAGATTCCATAGTTCTAGCATCAAAAATTTACAACCTTAATACAACAGTTAAAGAGAAGCTCGAAAAGAAAATAATTAACCATAAAGCTGGAAACCATTCGATATCTACTATTGGATCTAATAAAAAGTTAATTATAACATATTTAACATGCTATTTGTTGACTTTGTTCCATTATATTACCATATATATCTTTTTGAAATCTAAAATATTTTTACGATTTTAACCATGTGTTGTTGAAACCATATATCAATCTTAGCTAAAGTATAGTTTATGAGTCTGTCACCATCTAACGTATGAATTTTCAAAAATGTCAAATATGTTCATTTTTTCTGTAGATTCAGCCATAATTTCACGTTGTTATACTATTCAACTATTATTTAATATTTTTATCGATTTAAATATATGATGAGATGCTTAGTTCTCCTGGAAATCGATTTTTAATCGCAATTTTAACTTTCCAAAAAAATTCAAAAATAAAAATCCCTCTCAATTTTCTAAGTTTTATAACTCGCCAAATCTCTAGCCAAATTTTTTTGGCCCGTATAAATATTGTTAGGCACTATATAGGGATGCTATTTATCCTATTTTCATCCCATTTTACTGTTATCGCCTAGTGAATGTACCTTTCTATCATCTCAAAAAATTAAATAAGTATTCAATTTTTGAAAAACTGTCAATTAAAATTTTGCTTTGTATTGTGAATTAAATAAACTAGAAAAATGAAACTGTGAATTAAAAAAAGGTAGTGGGGCTTCCAGGCGCGTTGCGCCCTCTAGCCCTGAAGATGTTTAGTATAAATGAAGTTTTTATTCGGAGGGCTTCCAGGCGCGTTGCGCCCTCTAGCCCGAAGATGTTTAGTATAAATGAAGTTTTTATTCGGAAAATTGTTAGTCTTCTGGGTCGAAAACATTATATAATGTGTCACTTTTCACAAATTATATATGTTTTCATGTTTTGTCACTTTTCTGTCACTTTTCGGGTAAAAACATTTTTATTATTATTATATATAAATGAATTTTACAAAACCGCCGTTACCGTTCATTGGAAATAAGAGTAGATGTAAAGATATTATATTGAGAGAACTTAAGAAACTACCGAATGGTCTAACATTTGTAGATTTGTTCGGTGGAAGTTTCTATATATCCCATTTATGTCATACAATATTCCCAGACTCAAAGATTATATGCAATGACTTCGACAACTATATGGACCGTCTCAAACATATTCCAGACACAAACAATATATTGAAAGAGTTAAAAGAAAAGATACCTATAGGTAAGATGGAACGTATACCATTAGAAAGAAAAATATTGTGAGAGAGGTTTTGAAAAAGCAGAATATATAGACTGGGATAGTATATCTGCTAGACTATTATATAGTGGTTCTATAAGAGTTCATGACATTGAAACACTTATGTCAAAAGTTTTATATCTTAACTATACAAATGTTTTCAAAGAGAACATAGAAAAATATATTGAGGGTATAGAGTTTGTGAGATGTCATTGGACAGAGTTGTATGAAAAATATAAAGACAAGGAAAATGTTTTCTTTATAGTGGACCCGCCGTTCTATAACACATGGGATTTTCAATACCAAGTAGACTGGACTTTGAGAGACTCTTTAGAAACTTTAGACGTTATACATAACCATCTATGCTTTTACTTTACATCCGATAAAAGTGGTTTGGAAACCGTTATGAGATGGTTAGAGGACATACATGACTATGAGTTTATATATGACAAGATAGAATATGAGAGAGGTCCTATAAACCGGAGAAAGTGTCACAATAAAGAAATTTTATTAGTAAGTAAATGTGGTTTGAAATAGGACTACTTGTTTTAGGTTTTTTCCATTGTGTCATTTATTTATTTGACGTGGCAAAAAGTACAGAGAATATGAAGATGAACCAATGCCTGCAAATGTTCAGCATATGTATTCGTAAGAGATATTTTTATCTAATATTAAATGGACGCACAGAACTTAGCGAATGCACAGCAACCTGGACAACCAAACCCAGAGAATATTCCAAATGAAGTTAGAATACAAACTGCAATGGCAAACTATGGTCAAGTGCCAACAGATGTACAAATGCAAACTGCCATGTCAAATGACGCTGCGTTAGGTTTGCCACCATGGTATGCAAATATGAGATGGAAAGAGTTTTATACAAACCCTGAAGTGGGATATAAACAACTTTATGCAGATGACGCGAACACAGGAGTTGACCCAGAATATGTTTTCTACCAGGGGAGAAACAGAATGTATGAGCTCCAGTTAAAGAATGCTATGGAACTCAACAGGAAACGTAAGAGACTAGGCGGACATTAGATTTTTACATATAGTAAAATGGGTTTCTTCAGTAAGATAGGAAACTTCTTTCGAAATGTTGGAAGAGGTATATGGAATGGAATAAAATCTGTCGGAAGAGGAGTATGGAACGGTGTCAAAAATATTGGTAAAAGAGTAGGTCAGTTCGTTGGTATTATACCTAAAGACCCTGAACCAGAAGAGCAAGCTCCTGTTATACAACAGCCTGAACCTGCACCACAGTCTAGTTGGCAACCAATCCAACACCTCAACCGTATTAAAAAATTATATTTTTATCGTTCGATAGTAGTTGTATATGAAACTAAGTTCTAAGTAAAACGCATGGTATAATGGAATTATTCTTTTTCTTCCATCTGTAGTAAACCATACTTGAAAGTCTGAAATACTTCCACTTGGTGGTTCGTATAACTTTGTAGGTTTTTCGTAAAAGTCATTTGCCAAGCATAAGAAAGAGTTTTGGGCGCCAGAAAATGAAGCATGAACAATAATAGCATCTGGGTCGAAAACATTTTCATATGTTCCATTAGGGTTTTCGACTTCATAATAGTCCGGGTGTACTGGATATGCTGCAGGCTGATTTAACATCCTCATAAATCTATACCATGCCAAGTTGTTATATTTTGTAGAAATATAAACGTTTTCTCCAAGGTCTTCTATTTTATTGATTTTAACAGTTGCATTTTTCCTGTCATAAATAATATCGAGATGGTATTCTCCTTCGTCAATGTTATACTGGTTTGCATATTCAATATAGATATCGTTTATTTTTTCTTGAAAAGCTTGAAGAGTTGTTTCTAAGTTTATAAGCAAACTAACTTGTAAAAGTTTTCCCTGTTCAAATTTCTCATACATACGTTTTTCTTTGTTATAGTATCGAACTTCAAAACCGACCGTAAATGGGAAACCATGTATGGCTTCTGAAATGAACTTCATTCTACGAAAGCCAATAGCTTTTGTGACGGATGGGTCTCTTAACCATCTTAATGGGTAGTCAAAACGATAGCCTTCATGCTTTACGGTATCTGTCTCAAACTTTTGACCGACATTAGTAAAAAGTTCATCTAATGGTTTAGTTGTAGCAACTCTAGAATTTTCTTTTTCTATTGGAAGCATATTTTATCTATAATAAAAATGTCAAATGAAACAGCGTCTATGAGAGAAATACAACACAACCGACAACTCATTATGCAAGCTCTAAATAAGAACACAACAAACTTTTCAAACTATTCTAAGATATCTGAGTCATTGAAAGAAGGAAACTTAAAACTGACATTAAACCCAATGACAGATGAGTTTCTGTTTCAAGACAATAAGAACCATACTGTCTGTATAAATCCAACAAAAGGAACTTTAAACGAGAAACCTATAAAAGAACTTCTTTTGAAAGCAGATGTTGACAACAAAGCTGACAAAGAATATGTAGACGATGCAATAGCAAAAGAAGAAGAAAGAGCTAACAATGCTTATGCAACAAAAGAACATACTCATCCTGAACTAGCAGACAAAACATATGTTGACAATAAAATGTCAAGTGAAGTGACAAGAGCTGAAAACGAATATTCTAAAAAGACTCATATACATTATATTAACCAAATACCAAGTCTTA